TATATATTCTAAAGAAATTGAAAAAAGATTGCTAATAGAAAAAACTTTATAACCAAATGAGATAGGAAAAAAGCTCTGTAACTTTATTATAGAAGACTTAAACAATAAAGCTATAAAAGTTTTGTTTAATTTTATTATATATGAAAAAAAAAGTTATAATGGTTTAAAGTTATTCAATTTATTATAAATTTTACCATAAAAATTTATAATTTATGATTTCAAAAAAATATATAGTTAGTTGAATTTTGTTGTCAACATTTACAATGTATTATATAAAAAATCCGCACATAATAATTTGTTATATTGATGTAACATATGTTTGATGATCAACAGCCATCGAACATCACAATACCCCCCATCTTATTTTGACGATGACGTGTCAAGAGACAAGCGATTGGTGGAAATAAAATTATTTTTTATAAATAAAATTCTTTATTTATATTTTAAAATATATTATATATATATATATTTTTTTTTTCTGTTATATATATAAATGAAAAAATTTATTATTTTTTAATTTTTTAATAATAATATAAATATAGAGTAGCAGTTAGTAGTAGCAGTAATAATATTAAAATAAATAAATAGGAAAGAAAAAAAAATTTTTTTTCTTTTCTTTTCCTTTTTTTTATAATTAAATAAATAAGTTGATCAAAGGTCCAAAAATACATACATACATACAAAAGCATAATAAATAACTAAATACACAAACATATAGTAATAATAAATAACTAAGTAACTAAATAACTAAATAAACAAATCGCCAGTGGTGGTTATTATACTAATTTTCAAATTAACAAGTAAAATAAAAGATTAGTAAAGAATGTCAACAGAAGCACGTAGAAGACTTATGAGAGACTTTAAGCGTCTTCAGAATGATCCACCTGGTGGTATTCCTAATCCTAACTCACCTGCAAATGCCGAAGCTGCCAACCTATACAGAGAACATCGTAAAGAATACATTAGACGTGTTAAAGAGATTGTAGAAAGTTCTTGGGAATGATAATGATCGAGAATAATTGGATGATAATTATTATAATATGTTTATAGTATTATTGATAGTATTAATTAGCAAATTCATATAATTTATAATGTATACTAATATTACTATTATAGTAATAATAGTAATATAATAATTATTAATCTAGTTTACAAATATATATATATATTACAAAATAGAGATTTGTAAATTAGAGCCATCCATCCATCCATCCATCCATCCATCCATCCATTCATTCATTTATTCATTCATTCTTCACTTCCTCATCTTTCTAACTCTTTCTCTCACTCTCACTATCATACATCATTTTCCTCGCTATCTATCTTTCATTCGATATTTTTATTTTATTTTTATTTTATTTTTTATTTTTCACTTTTTTTTAAAAAAAATCCCTTTATTTATATCAATATTATATATATGTATTGATATATATGTATATGTATATGTGTGTATACATACATAGATATATATATATATATATATATACAACGTTATAACCTCCCTTTTTACTCTCTTCTCTTTCCATACCATCTCACTCATCTTTCACTTCAAATTCACCCTCTTCTCTTTACATTTTTTCTCTCAAAAAAAAATTCAAAAAAATTCAAAAAAATTTTAAAATCTTTAAAAAATCAAAAAAAAAACCAAATATATTTAAATTTCTTTATTTAAATAAAAACAAAAAAAAACCTTTTCTTCTTCTCAATCATATACAGTGTTAGTCAATACATGTTTTATAATGTGGTGGTGTGTGTATAATATGATCTTGATCTGAATCAAAACCATAAATTTTCTAGAATGATCTATACATATATTAATTATTACCAAATTTGGTCATCACAAATTGACTTTTTCCTAATGACGTATTTGCTTACATATTAGACGATGTTAATTTATTATTCCAAGAGGCAAGATCAATTTATCATGATTAAATTTAATACCCTAAATAAGATGAAATCAATAATAATTGTCTGGAGGATGTTACCTTTTTTAATAATAAAAATTAATTTAAGATTATAATAGTAGAAAACGAGCCACCTCAAATATTTTGAGGCTTAATATAACATGTATGGCTTAGAAATATTGCGCCACTAATACAATAAATAATAATGGTTGCTATAAAAGTATTCCTTTTATATTAATTATTATTATTTATTTTATAACCCAAATAAATTTTTTTCTATTATTACATTATTATTTATTACATTAAAAAAATTTTATTTAATAAATTAATTTCGGCTTGGTTTAAACTTGTGGCTAAGTAGCAGCCTTTTGAAGTTTAACTTCAACAGCACTAGCAGCTGGTGTACCCTTGTATGTTACGAAAAGATAATGATGTCTGCCAGGAGGGAGCATATTACCATTTGGTGGCATGGTTACATCAATAGCATAGCCTATATCTGTAGGTATTAAATTTTCTACCTTTAATCTAATATATCTTGATGACATATGTTGTGAATGTGTTATGAAGCCCATATGAACAAGTGATACTATAATATCATCGGGCACTGCTGTTGCGCTGATTTGAATTGTAACTGTGACGAGTTGTCCGAATGTAACTGGAATAGGATTTATGCCATTAAGTTCTTTTAGTCCGGCTACTGATAGTATGGTAGGTCTTGGTGTTCCATTCAAAAGATAAGGTGGTGTAAAGATTTCTACACGATATCTATTAATTTTTATTAATTATTAATTATTAAATTATCATCATCATCATTTTTTTTTTTCCAATAAAATAGAAAACTTACTCAGTAGGATGTTTACAGTTATCACAGTAGGCACCATTTGGATTACTACCAGTAACAAACACGGTACCATCAGGTATTAGAGTGGCAACAGAATGGTAGCCACGAATGATAGTACTGTCAGCCCATTTAGCCCATCTGGCTCCTTTTGCAGCTTTAGGATCGTAGACAAGAGGAGTAAGTGTGGGCTCGCTTGCCACATTAATTCTATTTTCAGGTGGTCCTCTATCATAACCAGCATAACCAACTGCAGCACCGTTAACAATAAGTATTTTACCATCAGGTAAATGGACCGAATCACCCATTATACGACCTTTAGGCATTCCACCGAATTCTTCTTCGTCCCATACACCATTTGCTTCAACCAAATTAAGTCTGACACACGTATTTTCGGTTGGTGCAGCTGGTACAATGTCAGTACCACCACCGCAAATCAATACTTCGGGGGCATAATTGTTCTCGTAGCTAAGAGGAAGGAGAGTAGTGGTGGCAATGAGTGGGTAGGTACGTGGACCACCTGGTATATCAGGTAATTGTTTTACTGTTTTTTGAGTTCCAAAGTCCCAGATCTGTGCTTTTTTATTAGCAGCAAGGAATAACCAATTTTGTTCAGGTGGACCTGGAACCACTATAACTGTTACGTATAAATTATATGGGAAGGTATCTATCAAGAATTGCATTGGTTCTTTAGGAGCTTCTACGCCATTATTTGGAAGGAATTCAAATGTAGGATTTTGAATATCTTGTTTGTTGACTCCAGTAGCTTTTGTTGATCCGCCCAAAACAAAAACTCTACCGTCGGGAAGTCTAAGAATGAATTTAATCGGTTAATTTATTAATTAGTTATGTGACCATGATATATTTATATGTCATGTGTGTGTGTGTGTGTATATGTATGTATGTATGTATGGTTTAAACTTACGATGTCATAGTAGTATACCATCTATTACTATTTAAATAACCAGGATATTCTACCCAATCACAAGTTTTATCATCACAAGCATCAAATAACCGAAGCGATTGAAAACCTTCCTTATGTCCAAACTAATGAAATATTTCAATGATATTTTTAATTAATACAATATGACGAATTTTTTATTTTATTTTTAAAATAATGATAAAAACAAGAAGGATACTTACGGCAACTTCTGCACCACCAGCTTCAGCCAAAGTGCCATTTTCAAAAAAGGAACCAGCAGAACAAAAGGTATTTGTAGTTAATTTGAGAGGACGATACGTGTTTGTCAAAAGATCATATTCTGTCGATAATGCGAATGTTCCGTCTTCATTGGCGACATCGGGATTTTTTTCCGCTAAGAGAAAAACGAATTTATTGTGCACGTTCACACAAAATAAATGATGAGCGAGTGACACGTTAAATAGTTTGATGGTTTTTTAAAAAATCATTATTTAAATTACCTTTGTCGATTATTAGGGCCTTTGTGGGTCTGACAAGAACTAAATGCATCGCGGATACTCCGGATCTAATCAGAAATAAAAAAAAAATAATGGTTGTTTTAGAGAATGGGTCTAAGGATAGAAGAGAGGAGAAGGGTATACATAATTATAAATAATAACGCTTACTTTCCAACTATGTTCCATTCGCCAACAGTTGCTTCTATAATTATTTATTATTATTTATTAGCATTTAATTAATTTCTGTTTCGTATGTTGGATTTCTTTGCCAAAATTTTAAAAAAAATACTTACTAGGTGCAGCTGGGGCAGCTGGGGCAGCATGTGTATTGATAATACTCAATGCGCATAAAACACCACATAACAATGGTGATTTAAAAAGGTGTTTCATTTTTTTTTTTTTTTCTGATTTTAATTTACACTTTTCTTTTTCGTTTTGTTATTAAAATAATAAATAAAGAAAAAAAATCAAATATGGAGGATATGATGACGACGACAATGATGATATGAAAATATGATGAATTTTATTGCGAGTATATATTTTATAGTTAAAGAGAATGATAAATTAATACTATTTCTATTTATTATTATAATAATAATAATAATAATAATAATAATAGCAATAATAAAAATTAAGTGATGAAAACGATGTTAATAATAAAGGAGAGTGCAAGAATAGGATAAGGGAAAAAGGACGAACGGAGGGAAATTAAATTTTGAAATTTATGGAATAAGAAAAACTTCGCTTATTTATATCATTTATTTATATTTTGTGCGTTTGCTATTTCCGGATAAAAAGTATTAATTACATTTCTGTTTATTGTTATTATTATGATATATCAAGCCATGAATTATCTTTATTATTTATGTAAAGTTGCACACAATTAATATAAACAAATGACTATTTTTGAATATTTTTGATTGGTAAAAACAGTAAAGAAAGAATTGAATTGAAACTACTACTACACATACATTCTTTCCATAGGATAGGTGTCTAAACTATTTTTGGGTTGTCTAGAGTCAAAAATAGTATATTAATATATATAGTAATGATTTGCTTTAAATATCACTAAAAGCAGTGTTGTGCAATTGGAACATTGTAATGCTATTGGAATGTTCCAATGTGGCTCCAATATGGTTTCAATGTAGAACTTCAATTGATATTGACCAATAAAATTTGTGTGTGAGACACTCTAATTGAATTTCATTGGTTAACTTCATTGGAAACACATTTGGAACATTCCAATTCCAATTAGAATTTGTTGGAATGTTCCAATGAAATTTTATTGGAACCATAAATGGCACAACACTGACTAAAAGTCACACAAAGTTCGGCAATCATGGCCTCAATATCTAAATAAATTTATATTTTAGATATTGTCTACCTATGGACGTATCTCCTAATCATAACAACCATCGAGTGCTTGGGAAAAACTTAACACGTTGTTCGTCTTGACATTATATCCTTTGAAGTTAACTTCTCTAAAAACATTGTTGTTTCTATAAAGTGCAGTCTCGCTGATTGTTCCCTCAGTGGAAGTTAAGTGTTTAATAAATAATTGGAAATAAAGCAGAACGCATATTTTTTATTTGTTATTTTTAATTATTATTTGTTATTTGTTATTTATTGTTTATTATTGATTAATTACATATGGATTTATCATCACTTTGCTATTTTTTATACTAATAAGTATTTCCTTCGTCGTTTCAAAAAGGACATGGTTATTTTCAACGTTAAAAATAAAAGTAACGAATCAATTTTTTGAAGCAGCAGGAGAGTCCCTTTTTCGAAGAAAGATTCGTCGATTCTTAAAAATCGATTCCGAATCGTTACGTTTTTTTCTTCACATTTTCAAAAGGGCATGATCGTTTTTAATATTAGAAATAATATAATAATAATAATAATAATAATAATAATAATAATAATAATAACAATAACAATAAAGCTTGGTTGCTTAATATTTATTTAATAATAACGACAAAATATTTCTTCACGTTTTTTGGAAAAGGATTGATGTTAATCAAATGATATTTTTTTATTTATCAATACAACCTTTGAACGTTTTAAAAAATTTGGAAAAGTGATCAAAAGGTTTATACAACGCAATCAATTTTGTTTCTTTTCGATAATCACTTCAAAATTTAACAGACAAGGATTTAATAAAAATTTATATTCGTTGACCTTTTTCCTAATAAGAAGGTAAATAAATGAGTAGTCAAGTCGCTAACAAATGCTAAGCAAGGGTATGTTGTTTTATTTTTGATTGCTTTAGATTTTCTAGCTTTATCTCAGTATCTCTAGCATTCTTCAGGGTCCAAGCTCATTCATTCATTATACAATTAACCCATCAATTGGCTGTCTTTAATTAACCTGACAAGCGACGATTCTATGAACTTGGATAACATGGAAATAATCGTATCTTTAACTATACAACATCTACCTCTCCTATACCGACATCAATCCTAAATTTTATATTACCATTTTCAGGATTCATTTTATTGTTATGAATTGAAATGGGTAAAAGAAATTTTAGGTTTAATGTCTTTCTTATTTAAATAAATCATGGTCTATTAGACTCTCCAATAAACCCCTTCCTTATCCATCACAGATTTATGTCATTTTTGCTGTAAGTTTTTTTATTAAGCACTGATGATATGATGCAGTTATTTGGCACACATATTCCTTTGCATATCTCAATACTAAGACCATGCAAAAACGAAACTCTGAAGAATCAGTTTTGAAAATAAGAGAATTTATTAATATATTATTATTATTCTCTTTCTTCCGAATGGGCTAATAATAATAAAGAGAAATAATTTATTTTTACTATTATAGGCGTAGGTGTGTCAGATTATCCTTTTCGCTCCTATACAGGTTCTTCTCTTGTGACCTTTTGAATGCAAATGCTCCGTGAATAGAAGCGAGGCTTCTCACGAATGCAAATTCAACAATATCCCAATTCTCGCACCGCATCATGTAGGGGTAAATTGACCTTTCTTTTTAATGGGTAAAAGTGCATAATATTTAAATAATTGAGTTCTAATATAATTTATTTCCAAGAATCAAGCGTTTGTTGATGACTCATTGTTATCTTCGTTTCCTGAGAAATGTCGAGGCAGCATTTTCATTTATTGAAAGTTGATATGCAGTGATATGCAAAACTTTTTTGCCACCAGCAGAGAAAACCAAAAAATCAAAATGGAAGAAAGTCAAAGAAAAAAATAAAATAGCAGGTTTTAATACAAAACATTATTTACTTTTTTTTTTGAAATTACTGATCATACAATAAACATTGTAAATAATCAATCACCTTTTTTTCAATGTGTAGTAGGCCTCGCTTTATTTTAATGAAAGTCAACAGAATGTGTTCACAAGTACATTAAAAAGTGATGAATCCTTAGATCTATTGACTAGAAGTAAATTTTAAACACTTTTTTTAATATTGATATTCATTATAGAGATTGATTTTTTTACTTGTTGTTTTAAAATATTATCAAAGAACGATAATAATCAGATTTCATCTAACGGGACGGAGAGATCGTTGATGATGTGACTTTTAATGATTTTTATCTACCACTACAACTGGAACCAAGGAATAGACGGAAGTGATAATCTTAAACAAATTTTCTATTAGTTAATTAATTTGCTCATTTACATTTTTTGGTGATGATTTTTAATAATGTTGAAGATGAAGCTAGAGACTGCTGTTAGCAAATTATAAGCCTGTTACTGTGACATTTCATCAAGATCGTCAATATAAAAAAGAACAAATAGTTTAATTCATAAAAGCCTTTGAATCTCTTTTTTTGAAAAAATTTGTCGAGTGATTTGCGTTTTAAGTCAAGAGGCTGAATCAAACTTTCTCTACATGTTAACAACCATCATCTATTATTATGCAGAAAACAATTTTTTAAATCCGGATAATTAATATGATTAATAAAATTTATAATTTTTAAAAGCAAATATTATTCTTGTGAATTTATCTAATAAATAGATCATGCTAATACATACTACATGAACAAAGGTTGGGCCCATTTTGCGACTTGGGTTCCCATTTTTATTAAACTAATACTAATAAATAAATTTCGACCAAATTGACGAAAATGGGTTACCAAAATTTGACAATTGTAATACCCGAAAATTATTTTGCTATTTTTGATAATTTCCTTGGCATCAATCTTCAATCCGTGTGTGTAACATTATTATTATTATCCAAACAATTTTGGGATTCCTATTACTATAATTTCTAAATTTGTATTAGTTACACGACGAAATCATTTAATTTATTTGTGATATCAATTTATTTTTGAACATGAGTCACTGCTTTTCAATGAAATTTAGTCGTGTGGTTCGATACATTATATATATATATATATATATATATATTTCATTTAAGGCCAACGCTTTGAGTTTTATTAAAAATGATGATAATAGGTACAAAACAATATACAGTCAAACCTCGTTTCAACGGATCTATGGGACTGACCACCTAAATCCGTTGAAACGAGATAATGATCTACAGGATCAACAGGAAAATTTTAATACGGTAGGGAGAGATTCAGTATTAGTATGGTATAACTCTTGCAGAACGTATGGTATGGTATGGTATAGCCCATATTTTTCCATACCAAGTCACACAAAATTTTATTCTAAATCCTTTTTTGGTGGGTGTGAAGGGAAGTATGTTAGATTTAAGCATTGGTATACAACCATTTTATTACACTTATACAATACCATACCAGTACATATGGTATAATGATTATAATGATTGATTTTGAATGCAATTTTCTTATGTGGGGGGGGGACATTTCAATATAAATTGAAAAAAAAACAAATTTGAGTCCTACTGCCCTTATATGTAACTCTTTAGGTGGAACATTTTGGCCTAGAAACCATATTGATTTCACACAGTAATATTTTCCTTTGAAGTTTCAAAGGCAAAAAATTTTCTCCATAATTTTCAGAGTTTCATACATTTCTATTTGAAAAGCTCCACTCTGTCAAAACAAGAGTTAGACTTAAAGTTCTGAATGAAGTGAGTTCAAGCTATGTTTGAGTCAACTTAATTAATATCTTTTCATAAATGTACAATCAAATTTGAGCTTGAACATTTGAGTCAAGCTGAGTTTGAGCTTTTATTTAAGCAGAATTAACTTGTTTGAAGATTTAGTATTTAAAATAAATAATAAGTGGGACATAAGAAGGAAGAAGGAAAAAAGACACAAATTAGCCAATGTTGCAAACAGTATGCCAAACATTCCCTTGTCATTTTATTTAACAGTTATTTTTATGATGAGAGGAAAAACACACAAGTTAGTTGACAAAGTAGATATTCTAAAGATTTCTAATGAAAGAAGAATAAAAGAGAAGTCAAGTTTTTTTTTCATGTTGCGTATTATATTGAAAATTTTACATTATGCATCAAGTCAGATGATATGAAATTTCTGGTTACTAAAATTTGAACCCCTGGTTTGTTTCAGTACTCCCCACATTTATTATATTATAATAAATAATAATAATAATTTTTATAGTTTTTTTTGTGTCGTTTGTGTGAGAGAGTGTGTGGTATTTCTTGTTTTTAATATTTTTATTTTTATTTTTTTTTTAAACCAAATAAATAAATATTCAACTTTAAAATAAATTCTCTTAATAAACCTTAAAAAAAACTTAATTTTACAAATTTTATTCGAATTTATTTTTTATTCCTATATTTTTTCTTTACAAAATACCTTCCCAACCTTATCTTTCTTTAGAAATAACAAAATGGAAAAAAGAAAAGTTTCAAAACGACGTCAAACTGGTACAACAGCAAAAGATGATATAGAGGTATATATGATAAAAATATTCATTCAAATTTTATGAAAAGTACAAATAATAATAGATGTCAAGAATTTACAATCAATCAACAATAGTCATAATAATTAATAAATATAATTTTTATTTTGCTTTTATTCTTTTTGGTTGATTATTATTATAAATTAGCTTTTTCAATCACCGCCAAATTCACCGCTATTAACACCAAAGTCTTCACACTTAGCTACCTCACTAGAAGCACCTTCTCAACTACAAACACCTTTATCATCTCCCCCAACTTCACGTCCTCCCTCTCCAAATCCTACAGACATTCCATGCCTCATTCCTTTACCAAATTCACGTCCTTCAACTCCTAGCTTTAGAGAATCTCAAAACGACAATATTTGCAATAATAACAATTGTAGCAGTAGTATTGGTAATAACAATAACTTTAATAATAATAATAATAGCATAAGTGTCGCAACAATAATTGCTCGTAACAATCAAGAAATAATAGATGATGAAAACACAAAAAAAGGTTCATCCACAAGTTCATCCAATAATCGTCATCACAGCAATCTTCATCAGCATCAAAATCATAATACTAATTTACATAACTCCTCCTATCCTTCCTCTCCTTCCTCCTTAATTTCCACCTCAATCTCTTCATCATCTTCCATACCTCCACCATTTACAAGATGTCCGCCGGAAATAATATATAACATATTTGAAATATTATGTAAAATGCATCAAACTACACTTTTTTCTTGCGTTCTAGTTGATCATCAATGGAATGCAATAGGTACAAACGTACTTTGGAATTCTCCTAGATTTACTCATATGCGTTCTCTAGATAAATTCATCAAAACAATCGAGCATAATAATGATAATAATAACAATAGTAGCAGTGGCAGTGGCAGTAGTCCCTTCAAATCTTCTTCTTCGCAACTACCAATTGCAACAGCATCACCAACTTCGCCAATATCACAATCAACGTCATCATCTTCGCCGATATCAACAAAAATATATCATCCATATGCATCTTATATTCGTACATTAGATCTTACATATTTGACTGAACATGATCGTAACAATTCCGCTTTATCATCACATCTTCTTAGACTTCTTCCACTAATTCACATGGAAAGTCTACATACTTTAAACCTAAGCTTCGTAAAAGGAATCACCAATAACTACCTTACTAAACTCTTGGCCCCTTTTTTCAATTGCGTAAAAACTTTAAATTTGGCCGGGGGATCTCGTTCAGACAAATGTTTATCAAGTATCATTCCATATTGTCATCAAGTTCAAAATTTGTCGTTAGCATGGAACACTTCACTTTCTGACACATCAATCAACAAAATTGCGACAATTTGTGGTGGAAGTTTGCGTAAGTTAGATTTGACAAATTGTGAAAAAGTTAGTGACATTTCGTTGATTTACATTTCACAGTATTGTACGAAATTGAGAGAGTTGAAGGTCAGTTATTGTCGTGGTGTTAGTGAAGAAGGTATTAGGGCGGTAATTGAACGTTGTGAAACCTTAAGAGTGTTAGATCTGGTAGGGTGCTTGAATGTTGACAAGTATTTCTTATTAAAGTGTAATGATGAGTTTGGATTGGGAAAATGCCGAGATTTGAAATTAATTTGGAGGAGATTGGTTGAAAATAATGTACCACCATCATCATTACCATTGCCATCATCATCATCATCGCCGTTACCATCATTATCATCATTATCACCACCATCATCGTCATCATTGTTATCTTCCACTAATGCTACTACTTTTTCAATATTAATATCATTATCGACATCACCGACATCACCGACGTCATCATCATTATGGAACGACGACAACAATTAAATAATATTTACACCAACACAATAACATACAATAACATCATCAAGGAATATTAATATTACAATAAAAAATGAAATAAAATCTTTTTTTTTTATTTTCACTTCCTGTTTATTTTATTATTATTTTTTTAAAATGATGGAGAATTATATCAACAACAAGCAAGAACAAAAAAAAGACATTATTATAGAAAGAGGTTAATTTGATTTTCATATTATTTTTAACTGGAATGTGATTTAGTTAACTAATTAATTAATTAAT